AACAACTTCTTTTCTACAGCATAGAGCCCCTTCACGGTTGCGTATCAACACTAATGAACAGTAGTAACCGGTAGCTTAATATGGCACCAACACATAAAGGACCAAATGGAACATCAATCCCCATCTCACCCTGAAGGAGATGGGGTTTCAGTACAAGTGAATAAGGCCAAAGTACCTATGGAACACTAGTCACTTTAATAATGTTTACATACTTTTTTACTAATTTCATATGTACAGTGGGGAAAAAAAGTATTTAGTCAGCCACCAATTGTGCAAGTTCTCCCACTTAAAAAGATGAGAGAGGCCTGTAATTTTCATCATAGGTACACGTCAACTATGACAGACAAAATGAGGAAAAAAAATCCAGAAAATCACATTGTAGGATTTTTATGAATTTATTTGCAAAATATGGTGGAAAATAAGTATTTGGTCAATAACAAAAGTTTCTCAATACTTTGTTATATACCCTTTGTTGGCAATGACACAGGTCAAACGTTTTCTGTAAGTCTTCACAAGGTTTTCACACACTGTTGCTGGTATTTTGGCCCATTCCTCCATGCAGATCTCCTCTAGAGTAGTGATGTTTTGGGGCTGTCGCTGGGCAACACGGACTTTCAACTCCCTCCAAAGATTTTCTATGGGGTTGACATCTGGAGACTGGCTAGGCCACTCCAGGACCTTGAAATGCTTCTTACGAAGCCACTCCTTCGTTGCCCGGGCGGTGTGTTTGGGATCATTGTCATGCTGAAAGTCCCAGCCACGTTTAATCTTCAATGCCCTTGCTGATGGAAGGAGGTTTTCACTCAAAATCTCACGATACATGGCCCCATTCATTCTTTCCTTTACATGGATCAGTCGTCCTGGTCCCTTTGCAGACAAACAGCCCCAAAGCATGATGTTTCCACCCCCATGCTTCACAGTAGGTATGGTGTTTTTTGGATGCAACTCAGCATTCTTTGTCCTCCAAACACGACGTGTTGAGTTTTTACCAAAAAGTTCTATTTTGGTTTCATCTGACCATATGACATTCTCCCAATCCTCTTCTGGATCATCCAAATGCACTCTAGCAAACTTCAGACGGGCCTGGACATGTACTGGCTTAAGCCGGGGGACACGTCTGGCACTGCAGGATTTGAGTCTTGGCTTTGTTACTTTGGTCCCAGCTCTCTGCAGGTCATTCACTAGGTCCCCCCGTGTGGTTCTGGGATTTTTGCTCACCGTTCTTGTGATCATTTTGACCCCACGGGGTGAGATCTTGCGTGGAGCCCCAGATCGAGGGAGATTATCAGTGGTCTTGTATGTCTTCCATTTCCTAATAATTGCTCCCACAGTTGATTTATTCAAACCAAGCTGCTTACCTATTGCAGATTCAGTCTTCCCAGCCTGGTGCAGGTCTACAATTTTGTTTCTGGTGTCCTTTGACAGCTCTTTGGTCTTGGCCATAGTGGAGTTTGGAGTGTGACTGTTTGAGGTTGTGGACAGGTGTCTTTTATACTGATAACAAGTTCAAACAGGTGCCATTAATACAGGTAACGAGTGGAGGACAGCGGAGCCTCTTAAAGAAGAAGTTACAGGTCTGTGAGAGCCAGAAATCTTGCTTGTTTGTAGGTGACCAAATACTTATTTTCTACCATAATTTGCAAATAAATTCATAAAAAATCCTACAATGTGATTTTCTGGATTTTTTTTCCTCAATTTGTCTGTCATAGTTGACGTGTACCTATGATGAAAATTACAGGCCTCTCTCATCTTTTTAAGTGGGAGAACTTGCACAATTGGTGGCTGACTAAATACTTTTTTCCCCCACTGTATATACTGTATTCTACTGTCAATGCCACTCCGACATTGCTCGTCCTAATATTTATATATTTCTTAATTCCATTATTTTACTTTTAGATTTATGTGTATTGTTGTGAATTGTTAGATACTACTGCACTGTTGGAGCTAGGAACACAAGCATATCGCTACACCAGCAATAACATCTGCTAAATATGTGTATGTGACCAATAATATTTTATTTGAAATCCTAACTCAATTTAGGTCCTTAATTCTGAAAATTAAAATAATGTAGCCTCCAAGATCCCTGTTCATAGTGATGGCTATCCTCCACTGGGGTAGCTTGACAAAGGGACAGATTGAATCAAACCTGTCTATTGTGATTAATCTTGTTTATTCAGGTGCCTCAATTATAATATACTGCCCATGCAGTATTATATAGGCCCTAGAACTGTGGAAATACTATAATGTGGGTTTGATTGAATTCAACCTTATATGACCATTCTATTCAAATACTGCCATTAATCCACGGAATGCTGATGCCATTCAGGTAGCTATTGTTAATACACTGAACAGAAATATAAACGCAACATGTAAAGTGTTGGTCCCATGTTTCATGAGTTGAAATAAAAAAATAAGCACAGAAAGCTTATTTCTCTCATGTTTTTATGCACAAATTTGATTACATCCCTGTTAGTGAGCATTTCTCCTTTGCCAAGATAATCCATCCACCTGACAGGTGTGGCATATCAATAAGCTGATTAAACAGCATGATCATTACACCAGTGCACCTTGTGCTGAGGACAATAAAAGGCCACTCTAAAATGTGCAGTTTTGTCACACAACACAATGCAATAGGTATCTCAAGTTGAGGGAGTGTGCAGTTGGCATGCTGACTGCAGGAATGTCCACCAGAGCTGTTGCCAGAGAATGTTAATTTCTCTACCATAAGCCACCTCTAATGTCATTTTAGAGAATTTGGAAGTAGGTCCAACCGGCCTGAGAACCGCAGACCACATGTATGGCGTTCTGTGGGCGAGTGGTTTGCGGATATCAACGTTGTGAAGAGTGCCCCATGGTGGCGGTGGGGTTTGGGATAGTCTGAATCAACAACGTGTTCCAGTTCCCGCCAATATCCAGCAACTTTGCACAGCCATTGAAGAGGAGTGGGACAACATTCCACAGGCAACAGCCTGATCAACAATGCAAAGGAGATGTGTTGCGCTACACGAGGCAAATGGTGGTCACACCAGATACTGACTGGTTTTCTGATCCACGCTCCTACCTTTTTAAAAAGTTATCGTGACCAACAGATGCATATCTGTATTCCCAGTCATGTGAAATCCATAGATTAGGGCCTGATTAATGTATTGCAATTAACTGATTTCCTTATATGAACTGTAACTCAGTCAAATCTTAGAAAATGTTGCATGTTGCGTATATATTTTTGTTCAGTACAATATACTTTGTATGCAAAAACAAATGATCCCTGACAACATAACTATGAAATATGCTTATAGGCGCTATCTGCAATTGCTATATTCATTTGTGGACTTCTAAATTAATGATATATATCCATTGATTGATTCTTGGATAATATAACAAAAATTCCCGGACACAGATTAAGCTTAATCCTGGAATAAAATCTATTTCAAAGGAGAATTTCCATTGAGACTGAGAATGCTTTTTAGTCCTGGACTAATCGGTGTCCAGGAAACGGATCCCTTCTGTTAGTCTCGTCTCACTATCTAGTCTAGCATTAATATTTGCATAATTCCATTTAGAGATAAGTATGTCTGAGATAACACCATGAAATAAGAGTTGATTGTTGATGTCATCAGCAGTGGATTTCTGAGGAAAGGGGCTATCTTCAATTGTTATATCCATTTGTGGACTTATAAATTATTGATATATACACCCATTGATTCTTCAACAATATAACTCAAATTCCCAGACACAGATTAACCTTAGTCCTGGAATAAAAACCTATTTCAAAAAGGAGAAATTCCATTGAGACTGAGAAAGCTTAATCCTTGGTTGAATAGCTCCGCCTATGAATTTGAGAGTGGTTACAATGATTCAGCCCCATCCCTCAGCTGTTTATGGAAAAAGTGGCAGGGTGACAATATGGTCCTATTTGACAATATGTTGGACTCACCCAATATCTCAATTTTACCTAACTTAAGCAGCACATTTCAGTGCTGATGCATAGGAGGAGTAATATACATGGATTATGTATAGCCTTTGTCAGCTACATTTACTTTGATAATAACTTACTGATAAAATAACGATTTGCCAATTGGCCACTGGAAAAAACACTGGTGTATTATTCATCAAATACCAGTTGAGTCTCATAAGCACGCAACTATGGTTTTGTGTTTCTCTATAAAACATGTTAACTAAAATGTCAGCAAGGAATATAGACCCAGCCGTTACAATATAATTTGATTTGACAAACTCAGCTAGGTCCGTCCAATTTTGAGTGGAAAATTCCCTATTTAACTCATTTTCTGTTATGAATTCCTTATGTAATGTACCACACACACACACACACACACACACACACACACACACACACACACACACACACAGAGAGTAATGAGCACAGGACCAGAGATCTTGGAGAATCCCCCTTTAATGGAGCTTCTTGCTGACAGTAGCTATATACCATCTCTCATGGCACATACTGAGAGTGGGCAACTAACTATTGCCACTTAGCACCCTATGGACTAGAATCGATCAAGGGGGGCCTATTGTACTGTATTGTATGAGTGGGTTATGATACGATTTAACAGGATAATATACCCTGCCTGAATGACAATTACACTCCCCACCTGCAGAGTCCCTTCTCTTACAGGAATATTGCATTTGCATTTTGTAACCTCACATGCAACGTCATCATCTCAGTCAAAGCACACTCATCTCATAAAACTAACATTTTCCTCATCAATGTCTCTTCCAAAATTGCATTTCAAAACTGTATCCCACGGTAGACTTTTCATTTTTTACATCCGAAAAAAGTAGCATGGCGGTTGGACATTTGCTTTGATTCCCTTGAGAAGCATCCCTGCAGTAGAGTAGAGTACAGTCACGAGTGAGCAGGGGCTGCTCTGTTAGCGAGCTGTCTGAGTCTGTGTAGTCCTCTCTAGTCCTCTTCACTCCTCCAGGGGACCGGCCTGTGTCTGTTTCGACTGAGTTACCATCCTCCAACCCCTATCTGCTCAGGCAGTCTCCTTGTCCACCTTCCACAGCTGCTCCTTCACCTCGGTGGGTAGGGTGTTGAAGAGATCTTCTTCCACCACCAGACCAGTCTTTTTCAACTGCCTGCATTCCCCGAGCTCCACGGGCAGACAGTCCAACCTGTTCCCCCTCAGCTCCAGCTGGGTCAGGCCCGTCAGCTCCCCGAAGCGCGACGGCAGAGACGTCAGGCAGTTGTTTCCCAGGTTCAGAGTACGGAGCTTCTTACACTGGAACAGCTCGTTGGGCAGGGTCTCAATCTAAATGGGGCGAAGAGGTAGAACAAAAAGAGGAAAAAGTGAGATGGAGCGATAGTGTCAGGTGGATGTGACTAACAGTGTACAATGTGTTATAGTGTCAGGTGGACGTGGCTAATACTGCACAATGTGTGATAGTGTCATGTGGATGTGACTAACACTGCACAATGTGTTATAGTGTCAGGTGGATGTGACTAACACTGCACAATGTGTTATAGTGTCAGGTGGATGTGACTAACACTGCACAATGTGTGATAGTGTCATGTGCATGTGACTAACACTGCACAATGTGTTATAGTGTCATGTGGACATGACTCTCACTGCACAATGTGTTAGTGTCAGGTGGATGTGACTAACACTGCACAATGTGTTATAGTGTCAGGTGGACGTGACTAACACTGCACAATGTGTGATAGTGTCATGTGGATGTGACTAACACTGCACAATGTGTTATAGTGTCATGTGGATGTGACTAACACTGCACAATGTGTTATAGTGTCATGTGGACGTGACTAACACTGCACAATGTGTGATAGTGTCATGTGGACGTGACTAACACTGCACAATGTGTTATAGTGTCAGGTGGACGTGACTAACACTGCACAATGTGTTAGTGTCAGGTGGATGTGACTAACACTGCACAATGTGTTATAGTGTCATGTGGATGTGACTAACACTGCACAATGTGTTAGTGTCAGGTGGATGTGACTAACATTGCACAATGTGTTAGTGTCAGGTGGATGTGACTAACACTGCACAATGTGTTAGTGTCAGGTGGATGTGACTAACACTGCACAATGTGTTAGTGTCAGGTGGATGTGACTAACACTGCACAATGTGTTATAGTGTCAGGTGGACGTGACTAACACTGCACAATGTGTTATAGTGTCATGTGGACATGACTAACACTGCACAATGTGTTAGTGTCAGGTGGATGTGACTAACACTGCACAATGTGTTAGTGTCAGGTGGATGTGACTAACACTGCACAATGTGTGATAGTGTCATGTGGACGTGACTAACACTGCACAATGTGTGATAGTGTCATGTGGATGTGACTAACACTGCACAATGTGTTATAGTGTCAGGTGGACGTGACTAACACTGCACAATGTGTTATAGTGTCAGGTGGATGTGACTAACACTGCACAATGTGTGATAGTGTCATGTGGATGTGACTAACACTGCACAATGTGTTATAGTGTCATGTGGATGTGACTAACACTGCACAATGTGTTATAGTGTCATGTGGATGTGACTAACACTGCACAATGTGTTATAGTGTCATGTGGATGTGACTAACACTGCACAATGTGTTAGTGTCAGGTGGATGTGACTAACACTGCACAATGTGTTATAGTGTCAGGTGGATGTGACTAACACTGCACAATGTGTTATAGTGTCAGGTGGATGTGACTAACACTGCACAATGTGTGATAGTGTCATGTGGATGTGACTAACACTGCACAATGTGTTATAGTGTCATGTGGATGTGACTAACACTGCACAATGTGTTATAGTGTCATGTGGACATGACTAACACTGCACAATGTGTTATAGTGTCAGGTGGATGTGACTAACACTGCACAATGTGTGATAGTGTCATGTGGATGTGACTAACACTGCACAATGTGTTATAGTGTCATGTGGATGTGACTAACACTGTACAATGTGTTATAGTGTCAGGTGGACATGACTAACACTGCACAATGTGTTAGTGTCAGGTGGATGTGACTCACACTGCACAATGTGTTATAGTGTCATGTGGATGTGACTAACACTGCACATTGTGTTATAGTGTCATGTGGATGTGACTAACACTGCACAATGTGTTATAGTGTCATGTGGACGTGACTCTCACTGCACAATGTGTTAGTGTCAGGTGGATGTGACTCACACTGCGTTATAGTGTCAGGTGGATGTGACTAACACTGCACAATGTGTTATAGTGTCATGTGGACGTGACTCTCACTGCACAATGTGTTAGTGTCAGGTGGATGTGACTCACACTGCGTTATAGTGTCATGTGGATGTGACTAACAGTGTACAATGTGTTATAGTGTCAGGTGGACGTGACTAACACTGCACAATGTGTGATAGTGTCATGTGGATGTGACTAACACTGCACAATGTGTTATAGTGTCATGTGGATGTGACTAACACTGCACAATGTGTTATAGTGTCATGTGGACGTGACTAACACTGCACAATGTGTTATAGTGTCATGTGGATGTGACTAACACTGCACAATGTGTTATAGTGTCATGTGGACGTGGCTAATACTGCACAATGTGTGATAGTGTCATGTGGATGTGACTAACACTGCACAATGTGTGATAGTGTCATGTGGACATGACTCACACTGCACAATGTGTTAGTGTCAGGTGGATGTGACTCACACTGCGTTATAGTGTCAGGTGGATGTGACTAACACTGCACAATGTGTTATAGTGTCAGGTGGATGTAACTAACACTGCACAATGTGTTATAGTGTCAGGTGGACGTGACTAACACTGCACAATGTGTTAATGGGATTTGATTCACAGTTCTCAGATGAGTCAACACGGCTACGGACAACACGTTCCTCATAACTCATCCAGAATACACCCTCAGAAATGTTTGTACAGAAAACCAAAAATGAAAATGAAAGCACTCACTCGGTTGGCGGTGACTGCCAGGTACTGAAGGTTCTGCAGGTACCCGACGTCTGCTGGGATGTAGGTGAGGTTGTTGTGGCTCAGGTCCAGGAAGCGCAGCTTACGGCAGTAGAACAGCTGGCTGGGGATATTATCGATCTTGTTCCTGTTCAGATAGAGACGCTCCAGGTTGTTGAGGGTGCCGATCTGGATGGGAATATAGGCGATCTGGTTGTACCAGAGTTTAAGGCAGACCAGCCGGTGCAGGTGCTGGAAGCTGATGATCTCCTCAATGGTCTTCAGGTTGTTGTCCTTCAATGATGACAATAATAATACATTTTATTCATACATAAAAAAATACAAAATAAACAGGGCCAGTTTCTCAGACACAGATTCAGTTTAGTACTGGGGTAAACAACTATTCCAAAGGATATCCTCCATTGAGCATGGTTTTTTGTCCAGGACTAGATTTAGGGCGTTTTCACACACGTTTTCACTGAGCTATAGTTCCAATCAGAGTTTGATTATTTGTTACATAGTATTTTTTTCATTTTTTATTTTTTCATTTGGTCCAGTTGGTTTCACATTGCCAAAATGTCAAACCAACTAAAATGCCTAAACAAAACCACCTGTTCATGCAAGTCATTTGTTTATTGGAGAGAAATTATCACGGTAAATCCATCTTCAATAATCAAAAGCATAACTTGTATGTCCCAAACTTCATACTACTTTCGCTTTGGTCTTCCAACAACATGCGGGAGGTAACAACGCAAAAGCCACTTTAACCCTTGACGTGAACAGTCTATATTCAGTAGCCTATATCCCCTGTATAGCCCCAGTCCCCCCAATCTGCATCGGATGTGGTCATAAATGCGCAGCTACTCACAGAATGTTTCAGAGATATCAAGTTATGGTACTGCGTGCACTTCATCAAATGCTCTCAGTCAAACAACCAATAATAATGCGGAACTCTGGTTATTTTCCTGTGTTTGGTCTGGACTGCATTCTCAATGGCAGCGAACCGCACCACGGTACAAATTGAATCAGACCGAGATTACCCTTTACGAGCGAACCACGTGCGTTGTTTAGTGCACTCACGAGTGCGGATAGAGTGCTCACACCAGTCCAAACTAACGGAACTAAGGGAAGAAAAGTGGCAAAATTCGGAAAGAACACTCCAAACCAATTTGGTGTGAGAGCCACCTTAATGTGTGTCCGGGAAACCAAAGTCATTTTACGTAATAAAATCAGCAAGTTTAATAAAAACAATACAATCACTTAATAAAATGTCATCCTGCGACCAGGACTTCTGGAAAACCAGGGAAATTTGGGAAAGTGAACAGAATTTTGCAACCCTAACGCAGCGTAATAAACAGCAATGACAAACGAACCTTAAGGTCAATCTCCTGCAAGTTGTGCAGGCTGAAGATGGAGTGTGGGATGCGTTCCAGGTCACAGCGGATCAGCTCCAGTTCAGTCAGGTTCACCATCTTCTTCAGGCTGTTGAGGACCATCAGCTTGGTGCCCTCGTTGTTGACTGACAGCTTCTGGAGGTGCACCCCCACGTCAGTCACCACCTGAGGTGAAGAACATCATACATAAAAGGTGAAACATTACAGTGCAGGGAGAGGGGGAAAAAACCAACAGGGCTTGATAGGGGCTCCTCTCACAAACAAAATGATTAAAACAAAAAATTACATGAAACACAAACAAACACTAGACAAAAAGACAGAGTGAGGAAGAAAAAAAAGAGAAAAAAAAAGACCTGAGGTAGCTTGGTCAGGTTGCTCTTCAGCCGGAGCACCTTGAGCCTCTTCAGCTCCCGTAGCCCATCAATAACAATGTATCGGTTGTTCTCTGCGCTCAGGTTCCCTGTCAAGTGCAGCTCGCTCAGGTTCTTCAGGCTGTAGATCCACAGAGGGATCTCCTTGATGTCGGTGAACTTGATGTGGAGGGACTTGAGGTTCTCCCTGAGGAAGGCCAGGGCCGGAGCCTCGATCTTAGCCGGGGTGTGGTACAGCCAAAGCTCCTTCAGGTTGACCAGCTGGGCGATGATGGGAGGGATGGTGATGTCTGGGATGAGCTCCAGCTTCAGCACCTAGAATAATAACAAAAACAATACATACGGACAGAGAGGCCGATATCGAAGCTCAATAAACTGAAGCGACACGGGCAAAAGCAGTGTGCGAGTTTCTCGCTTCTTTTAAGACATCGTGTAATTATTCCAACACACCTCCGACTCAGATGTGCGAGTACTTTTCCTATAATGTACAACAATCACAAGGTTGGTACAGTGTGTGCATTCAAAAATAGATAAAAACAAGTCACAGGAACAACAAGGACAACAAGGAATAGAGCCAACTCTACACAAACTACCTCCAGCTCCATCAGGTCAAACACTGTGTCTGGGATGCCGCTCAGCATGAAGAGGTGCAGCTCCAGCTTCTCCTGGGAGTTCTTGGTGATCCTCTGCCTCAGTTTGTCCAGAGTCCACTCGTTGTTCAGGTTGAGCTGCCGCAGCTTGTTCTCGCTCACCTCGGACAGGAAGACGGCAAAGCGTTTGGAGTACAGAGGGTCGTACTGGTCGATCATGTGCAGCATGAAAGCAAAGTCGTTCTTTACGTCCGGTATGTCGCTGTAACTGCTCTCCTCTCGTATCGACTCGAAGGAGTATTTCTTCAGCGAGTGCCGCAGCATCCAACAGAGAGTGTACATGCAAATTAAGCCGTAAACCCCCACTAAACTGATGTAGACGCAGGCTAGGATCTTAAACAGCGTGGCCAGAGGATGGGCACAACGATACATGCTGTACCCCGTGAGGCTCTCTATATCCACACTACAGTCCACGCTGAACTGAATTTTGTGCACATAATACCCTGTATAGCAGATAATCAAAATGAACTTAATGACTTTGATAATAGTCTGTCGGATGTAGAGCCTGTACACAATGTCTCCCTCTTCCACATGTAGGCGGAACTTTTTCACCTTTTCGAACAGAGCTTTTGCTTGTTCGCCCTCTTTTTTATCCAGGACGCCTGTCTCAGTGCGGTCCACGATCCCCTGCTCCAGGCGAGACTTTGTCTTTTGGAGCATGGGGACGCTGGCCTCCACGTCCTCGCTGACACATGACGCCTTCTTATCCATGGAGCCGTTCATCTTGTGGGGCTTGGGGTCGCGCTCCTCCACCACTGTCTCAGACAGGGCCCTGGTGGTCCAGGGAGAGTCAAAACACTTGAGTAAGATGGACACAAAGTGCTCCAGTTTGGAACTAGTCCGGGGGAACTTGAACCAGAAGTTACTGCAGGCCAGGAAAATGAGGGTATGAAGTAGCACCAGGTAGGGGAAGTACTTGGCGAACCAGTGCAGGCGGTTCTCGTAGCACACGGCGTCTACGTAGTTGTACTGGTGGCGATCCAGGTTGTATTGGATCCCTTTGGGCTCCAACAACAGCGGGGCCGACTGGGTGGCGTTGAAATGCCTCCTGCAGGTCTGGTTGACCACCCACTTGCAGGGTAGGCAGATCATCTTGTCCTGGGTGACCTAAAGAGTGAAACGAGAGCATTTTAGGCACATCGACAATAGTAAAGTAAGCATTTCATTGTAGTGTGTGTGTGTATATACTACGCTGTATCCCGTGCATATGACAAATTACACTTTTAAATGATTTGTAACAGAAGCTGAACAAAAACAAGCTAAAAAAAAAAGGGAATGTCCTCTCACGGACCTGCAGCGTTCCCCCGAACACGGCGATCATCAGCATGACTATGGAGATGTAGTCAGTGAAGACGTCCCACCATGGCTTCAGGATACGGTAGGCCGGCTGACAGTCTACAAAGTAACGCAGCTCAGTGATGGGGATCATGGTTTATCTGGGAAGAGGAGAGTTAATAGTAATAATAATTAGGTGGGTGCTTAAATTTGTCCTGTTTCACACATGTAAAAGTATGTATTACACGCATGTGTGAATTGGAAATATGTTTTTGCATATCCCAACTCCCCCTGAGACACCCTACGAGAGTTGGGTCATGGCCAGGGTCTGCTATTATCAATGGCGACCCTGGAGCAATTAGGGTTAAGTGCCTTGCTCAAAAGGCACAGACGGATTTTTCACCTTGTCGAATTGGGGATTCGAACTGGCGACGTTTCGGTTATTGGCCCAACGCTTTAACTGCTAGGCTACCTGCCACCCTTACTATGACAGACAGTATGTTTCATAATTTCAAATTCAACGTTTTTTTATGATCAAATTGCATAAGAGCAATAAGCTTTCTGAAATACTTGGCATTTCAAAAATGGGGGCCTTCAGCTCCAATAAAATAATGGTGCCACTAATAAATTGTCTATTACATTAAAATAGGGAACGCCCTTTTATGCCATAAAAAGATAATGGCATCCGGAACATATAGATTAGCTACTGCAATTAGTAACAGCCATTCCTGTCTTCATTTAACACTCAAATCAAATGAAGACTACCATAGCTCTTGCCTCTGGCACTCTATGAACAAAAAAAACAAGCATCCTATGTCGAATGAATGTGATGTGTAACACATATTCTGTACTGACAGCAACAGGAAAGGGAAAGGGGGATACCTGGTCAGCTGCACAACTGAACGCATTCAACCCAAATAGGTCTTCCGCATTTAACCCAACCCCTCTGAATCAATGGCAGCAATGCTAACAGGGTCATGCATCAGATAATAGGCTACCAGATGATTCATTTGAAAATATGTAGTAATGAAATAGACCGACTATCGCATGCATGTTCTGACACCTGAATCTCTGATGCATTATATTGGCTGGTTTGCTATTGATTTCACCATTGTTAAACCGGTCCAGTTAATCTAGCTCCCATTGGGCAGGTATTGGGACAGCATTTTCATTAGGGCTGGCAGTGTGTGTGTGTGTGTGCGTGCGTGTTAGGCTGGGAATTGCCAGGGACCTCCCGATACTATATTATCGTGATACTTTGGTGCCGATAAGATATATATTGCGATTCTCACGATTCAATATTGCGATGTTATTGCGATTTGATGTTCCAAACATATTGCTCACTATATGGCTGATGCAGAGAGACGAGAGAAAGCATGAGAAAATGAGTCTTGATCAGTCAGGGAAATAAAAGTGCTGAAATCATGTTGGCTCACTATTTAAAAAGATGAGAACAAGCTATAGGATGAAAAATACCAGAGTTTTGGTGCAGGTACAGCCGACTAGCGCTACCTAACAACAACAAAAATACAAATCAATACTTGGAGTCAAAGTATTGATATAATATAATCCAAAATAATATTGCGATATTTCACTGTATCAATCCCCCCCCCCCCCATCACTAATTTGTATTACCCTGGTAAACACACACCATGTCTCAGAAGATCAAAGTCAGTTTAGCAGTAATCGAATTAATCAGATTAGTAATTTAAGTGTGTAAATCACTTGTAAATCACTTAAAATATGAAGAAAGAAACACAGAGAGCAGGCCATGATCCTAGCTGGCAAATACAAGAGGTAAAATGTTGGTGTTTACATGCGGTGAGAAGAACAGTGTAGTGAGATTAATGTATAACAAAAGCTCTGGGGAAGGTATTTGGCAGATCATTGTGAATCAGAAATTAAAACATTCCAGAATAGATAGGAGGCACAAGTGACAGAAAATCTAAACTAACAGAAAAAAAGATGTAGTCTAGCTTTCCTATATGCCCAATATTCCACATTTTAAAGTAAAATAAATACTACTTACAATATCTGGAATAAAATACAGTAGAACATTAAGTCTCCACTTGTGTCTCCATTTATGAACAGCTTACAAAATATGTCTTCTCTATTTAAGCCTTCAACTCCAATACTTAAAAACGACCATGAAGATAGACAGACTGATAAACCTCTGACATTTTACCATGTGCCCCCCTCTTTCACTCGCGTGCCACTCTCTCCAAGAACATTATCTTCACCACCGTAACACTTCTTCAGTTTTGGCTCGTCTAGTCCAAACACAAACCACAGGAACGACAGCCACCTTACTCTCTTGTTCTCTATTCTTAGTCATTTCCCATAATAATACCCAGGGTATTGTCTCCCAGCGACCTTCAGGAGGAGATCCTGTTTACATTAGAGGAGGAGTCGGCGCTGGCTGTCTCCAGCCCCTGTCTCCCAGAAGGCCCAACACTGTACCCCGTGTCTCCTGCTCCTGGCTGTCTCCCTGGAAGGAACACTGGCTGTACCCCGGCCCTCACCTAATGGCCCTTCTCCTCTCTGGATGGTCATTATTTTCAGGAAGATGTTATTTAGTTCTTTAGAACCTGTTCCAAAAATGCTGCTGCAAAGCGGCCAATAAAGAATAAAGCACATACAAAGCTATAGGATTGAAGAATCCACATGTGTTCGTTATTGCCAACTTTGTTACTTGCAATGTTTTTTTTTGGAACATATTCTAAAGAACATATTCCTGAGAATATAGGCTACCATCCCTGCCCTCCTCACTCACTCCCACAAGACTGGGAGTTGGCTATCTGTCGCTGCCTGTGTTCAGTGAGGAAGACAGATAAAAACAGACAGACTTCCTGTGGAGCTGAGAAGTCTGACGCCTGCCTAGCCCCACTACAGCCTAGCCCAGCCCAGTCAGATCTCCAACCTACTCCCACACACAATGTCATTGTCACAACAATTCAGCCCAATTCACCCTATTCAGAGACCAGACAACCCATTAGAGTACTGATAAAAAGCGCTGATTGGTAAAACTCTTCTTTCTACAGAGCCAACAGAACCACAAAAAGACATCACTCAGTGAGGGACAGTAGCCACATGTCTGACCAAACTTCATATTCGTATGTAATACGAAGTACACAAGAATTCTGAGTACTGTACAGAGAATTGAAGAGTTATAAACATGGTTAGATGACATCTCTGGGAGATTAGCCTAATTTATGTGAACTGTGCAGGTATCAAGACATCTGCTCTTACCACAGTGGAGGTACTGGTGTGATCTGTACTCCTGTGCCTGCTGCTGTCGTTGGTGGGTATCCCACTCAGTGTGAGCCCAGCAATCCTCATGAGCCCAGGTCTCTTCTATCTCCATAGGAATGGGTGGCTGATCTGAAAACGAAAGGAAATTAGAAGTGAAGAATAAGCCTAATTAGGCCTAGCAAGCAACTATTTAATGTCTGATCTTGTAGCACAGGGATTATGTAAGTTAATACAGACAAACTCACTAGCTAGCAAACAGACTGGCAAGATGTAGGCTTGTATATAACACTAATAGTTTAAGCTTACATAAGTCTGACATCCCATTCCCAAAGCTGAAATCACATGCTGGGATGACATGTGGATTTAAGCACTTGAAAGGGTGACACACATATTACATGACATGGCTTATTCGGCAGTCTGATGATGTGAGCAGTTTGCAAAGTCCAAAACATATGACACATGAATGATCTCATGAAATTCAAGAGACAAATGCAATTTCCATGGTGAAATACTCTAGCTACATTACTTAGCTTGCTAACTAGCTAGCCTTAGTATTGTCATACATTTTGTGGCTAATGTCGACAGCTAACTAGCTAACTAATGATAGCTAACTAGCTAGCTGGCCAAGTCATATCAGATGAAACCGGTATATGATGCAGACGATTGAGGAGTTCAGCTGCTAGATAGCCTATAATCGATTGTCAATTAGACCGTTTGTAACTATTGATGTTATCATATCAGTGATGGCTAGAAAAACATACATTAGTTATAGTTAAACTGGTTAGCTAGCTATAACGTTAGCTAGCGTAGCTTGCTAGCTGACATTTCTTAGCATTAAAATGTTAGCTCGACCGGCATTTCTATAAACAACTCTCAGAGAAGTAAGGCCTATCTTGACTATCGTTTTAACTAACTACAGTCTAGTTACTCGACAACTTACTCAGTTTGGCTCCACTGCAGCAAGGCTGGCGAGCACCACAGGCTAACAGAAATACATGATGGTGTGGGGCTAGCTAACGTTAGCTAGCTAGTGTTGCCTTCTTTTCGTCTGTTGTTGTTGTAGTTGTAGTTGAGCACTGCAGCCTGCAACTATGCCCGTTTCCAATAGGTGGCAGTAGTGCGCTTTTTGTCGCTTATGACACCGTAGAAGAAGAAACTCCAGGAAGTGCTCCATTATTATAAACATTCAGACAACTAACCTATGCTTTCACCTTTCAGCTGTCAACAATGCTGTCACTGAATAATTTACGCCTTGTTTGCATATCTCAGACTCTTCAGCATTCACCGAAGTTATTAGCAATCAGGCAATGCTTATCAAAGGCTTCCTCTTGTGCAACGCTATGCAACAATTCTATCACCTTCAGCAGTAAGGGCACAAGGAGGCACACAGGCTTCAGATTACTGAACGAAAGTACAGTAAAACATGTCAGTTCACTGCAAAGGACTTTCTGCACGGCCTCTGTGAAGCTACACTGTTGGAACTGTGGCCAGTCTCTCGAACAAACTCCGGCCTTCTTCTGTTTATCTTGTAATTTTGTCCAGCCTCCAGATGAGGTGGCATCCTACTTCCAAATTATGGACTGGTGAGTGATATGACGTTTTCAATTTAAATGTTTACACACATTAGGCTACCGATTATTGTTATTATTAATTTAGTTTGTATTCACTAGTTTGTATGCACTCATCACAAACAGTGCCTTCAGAAAGGATTCACACCCAACACATTTACATTTACGTCATTTATCAGACGCTCTTATCCAGAGCGATTTACAAATTGGTGCATTCACCTTATAGCCAGTGGGATAACCACTTTACAATTATTTTTTTTTTTATTTTTTTGTGTTACAGCATGAATTTAAAATGAATTAAATTGAGATTGTGTGTCACTGGCCTACATACAATACCCCATAATGTCAAAGTGGTATTATGGTTTTAGAAATCTTTACAAAATAATTAAAAATCATTGGTGTGACAACTTTTACTTTTACTTCACTAAATTCCTAAAGAAAATTATGTACTTTTTACTCCATACATTTTCCCTGACACCCAAAAGTACTCGTTACATTTTGAATGCTTAGCAGGACAGGAAAATGGTCTAATTCACACACTTATCAAGAAAACATCCCTGGTCATCTCTACTGTCTCTGATCTGGCAGACTCACTCAACACAAATGCTTTATTTGCAAATGGTGTTGGAGTGTGCCCCTGACTATACATAAATGTAAAACAAAAATTGTGCCAATATAAGGAATTTGAAAATAATTATACTTTTACTTTTGATACTTAAGTATATTTTAGCAATTGCATTTACTTTTGATCCTTAAGTATATTTAAAACCAAATACTTTTAAACTTTTACTCAAGTAGTATTTTACTGGGTCACTTTTACCTGAGTCATTTTCTATTAAGGTAACTTTACTTGGACAAGGTAACTTTACTTGTACTCAAGTATGACAATTGAGTACATTTTCCACCCCTGTTAAAAATGAAAAGATGAAATGTCTTGAGTCAATATGTATTCAACCCCTTTGTTATGGCAAGCCTAAATAAGTTCAGGAGTAAACATTTGCTTAACAAGTCATATAATAATTGCATGGACTCACTCTGTGTGCAATAATACAGTCATGGTCTAAAGTTTTGAGAATGACACAAATAAATCAAATCAAATTGTATTGGCCACATGCGCCGTATACAACAGTGCAAATAGTCCGGGTAGCCATGATTAGCTGTTCAGGAGTCTTATGGCTTGGGGGTAGAAGCTGTTGAGAAGTCTTTTGGACCTAGACTTGGCACTCCGGTAGTCTATGACTAGGGTGGCTGGAGTCTTTGACAATTTTGAGGGCCTTCCTCTCAAAACCGCCTGGTATAGAGGTCCTGGATGGCAGGAAGCTTGGCCCCAGTGATGTACTGGGCCGTACGCACTACCCTCTGTAGTGCCTTGCGGTCGGAGGCCAAGCAGTTGCCATACCAGGCGGTGATGCAACCAGTCAGGATGCTAATTTTCACAAAGTCTGCTGCCTCAGTTTTGATGATGGCAATTTGCATATACTCCAGAAAGTCATGAAGAGTGATCAGATGAATTGCAATTAATTACAAAGTCCCTCTTTGCCATGAAAATGAACTTAATCCCAATAAAACATTTCCACTGCATTTCAGCCCTGCCACAAAAGGTCCAGCTGCCATCATGTCAGTGATTCTCTCGTTAACATAGGTGAGAGTGTTGACGAGGACAAGGCTGGAGATCACTCTGTCATGCTGATTGAGTTAGAATAACAGACTGGAAGCTGTAAAAGGAGGGTGGTGCTTGAAGTCATTGTTCTTCCTCTGTTAACCATGGTTACCTGCAAGGAAACATGTGCTGTCATCATTGCTTTGCACAAAAAGGGCTTCACAGGCAAGGATATCGCTGCTAGTAAGATTGCACCTAAATCAACCATTTATCGGATCATCAAGAACTTAAAGGAGAGAGGTTCAATAGTTATGAAGAAGGCGTCAGGGTGCCCAAGAAAGTCAAACAATCGCCAGGACCGTCTCCTAAAGTTGATTCTGCTGCGGGATCGGGGCACCACCAGTGCAGAGCTTGCTCAGGAATGGCAGCAGGCAGTTGTGAGTGCATCTGCACGCACAGTGAAGCGAATACTTTTGGAGGATGGCCTGGTGTCAAGAAGGGCAGCAAAGAAGCCACATCTCTCCAGGAAAAACATCAGGGACAGACTGATATTCTGCAAAAGGTACCGGGATTAGACTGCTGAGGACTGGGGTAAAGTCATTTTCTCTGATGAATCCCCTTTCCGATTGTTTGGGGCATCCGGAAAACACCTTGTCCGGAGAAGACAAGGTGAGCGCCACCATCAGTCCTGTGTCATGCCAACAGTAAAGCATCCTGAGACCATTCATGTGTGGGGTTGCTTCTCAGCCAAGGGAGTGGGCTCACACACATTTTTGCCTAAGAACACAGCCATGAATAAAGAATGGTACCAACACATCCTCCGAGAGCAAGTTCTCCCAACCATCCAAGAACAGTTTGGTGACGACCAATGCCTTTTCCAGCATGATGGAGCACCTTGCCATAAGGCAAAAGTGATAATAAGTGGCTCGGGGAACAAAACATCGACATTTTGGGTCCATGGCCAGGAAACTCCCCAGACCTTTAATCCCATTGAGAACTTGTGGTCGATCCTCAATAGGTGGGTAGACAAACAAAAACCCACAAACTCCAACATTGATTATGCAAGAATGGGCTGCCATCAGTCAGGATGTGGCCCAGAAGTTAATTGACAGCATGCCAGGGCGGATTGCAGAGGTCTTGAAAAAGAAGGGTCAACACTGCAAATATTGACTCTTTGCATAAACGTAATGTAATTGTCAATAAACGCCTTTGACACTTATGGAATGCTTGTAATTATACTTCAGTATACCATAGTAACATCTGACAAAAATATGTCATAACACTGAAGCAGCAAACTATGTGAAGACCAATACTTGTCATTCTCAAAACCTTTGACCACGACTGTAGTATTTAACATGATTTTTGAATGACTACCTCATCTCTGTACCCCAAACATATAATTATCTGTAAGGTCCCTCAATTGAACAGTGAATTTCAAACAGATTCATCCACAAAGACCAGGGAGGTTTTCCAATGCCTCGCAAAGGGGACCTACAGTATTGGTAGATGGATAAAAATAAAAAGAGCATACATTGAATATCCCTTTGAGCATGGTGAAGTTATTAATTACACTTTGGATGGTGTGTCAAAACACCCAGTCACTACAAAGATAGTGGCATCCTTCCTAACTCAGTTGCCAGAGAGGAAGGAAACCGCTCAGGGATTTCACAATGAGCCCAAAGAATTTAATGGCTGTGATAGGAGAAAACTGAGGATGGATCAACAAAACTGTAGTTACTCCACAATACTAACCTAATTGACAGAGTGAAAAGAAGGAAGCCTGTACAGAATAAAAACATCCAAAACATGCATCCTGTTTGCAATAAGGCACTAAAATAAAACTGCTAAACATTTGGCAAAGAAATGAACTTTATGTCCTGAATAGAAAGTGTTATGTTTGGGGCAAATCCAACACATCACTGAGTACCACTCTTCATATTTTAAATCATGTTGAATCATGTTATGGGCATGGTGTATGTCATCGGCAAGGATTAGGGATTTTTTTTTTTTTTTTTTTTTTACAAACAGAATAGTGCTAAACACAGGCAAAATCCAAGAGCAAAACCTGGTTCAGTCTGTTTACCAACAGACACTGGGAGACAAATTCACCTTTCAGCAGGACAATAGCCTAAAGCACAAGACCAAATATACGTACACTGGAGTTGTGCAAATAATGTACAATACAGGTGTGAAAAGCTCTTAGAGACTTACCCAGAAAGACTCATATCTGTAATCGTTGCCAAAGGTGATTCTAACATGTATTGACTCAGGGGTGTGAATACTTACAGTTGAAGTCTGAAGTTTACATACACCTTAGCCAAATACATTTAAACTCAGTTTTTCACAATTCCTGACATTTAATCATTGTAAAAATTCCCTGTCTTACGTCAGTCAGGATCACCACTTTATTTTAAGAATGTGAAATGTCAGAATAATAATAGAGAGAATGATTTATTTCAGCTTTTATTTATTTCATCACATCAGAAGTTTACATACACTCAATTAGTATTTGGTAGCATTGCCTTTAAATTCTTTAACTTGGGTCAAATGTTTTGGGTAGCCTTCCACAAGCTTCCCACAGTAAGTTGAATTTTGGCCCATTCCTCCTGACAGAGCTGGGGTAACTGAGTCAGGTTTGTAGGTGTCCTTGCTCGCACACGCTTTTTCAGTTCTGCCCACAAATGTTCTATAGAATTGAGGTCAGGGCTTTGTGATGGCCACTCCAATACCTTGACTTTGTTGTCCTTAAGTCATTTTGCCACAACTTTGGAAGTGTGCTTGGGGTCATTGTCCATTTGGAAGACCCATTTGCGACCAAGCTTTAACTTCCTGACTGATGTCTTGAGATGTTGCTTCAATATATCCACATAATTTTCCTTCGCATGATGCCATCTATTTTGTGAAGTGCACCAGTCCCTCCTGCAGCAAAGCACCCCCACAGCATGATGCTGCCACACCCGTGCTTCACGGTTGGGATGGTGTTCTTCGGCTTGCAAGTTACTCCCTTTTTCCTGAAAACATAACGATGGTCATTATGGCCAAACAGTTCTATTTTTGTTTAATCAGACCAGAGGACGATCTTTGTCCCCATGTGCAGTTGTAAACCGTAGTCTGGCTTTTTTATGGCGGTTTTGGAGCAGTGGCTTCTTCTTTGCTGAGCGGCCTTTCAGGCTATGTCGATATAGGACTCGTTTTACTGTGGATAGAGATACTTTTGTACCTGTTTCCTCCAGCATCTTCACAAGGTCCTTTGCTGTTGTTCTGGTATTGATTTTTACTTTTCGCACCAAAGTACGTTTATCTCTAGGAGACAGAATGCGTCTCCTTCCTGAGCGGTATGACGGCTGCGTGGTCCCATGGTGTTTATACTTGTGTACTATTGTTTGTACAGATAAACGTGGTACCTTCAGGCGTTTTGAAATTGCTCCCAAGGATGAACCAGACTTGTGGAGGTCTACAATTATTTTTCTGAGGTCTTGGCTGATTTCCTTTGATTTTCCCATGATGTCTAGCAAAGAGGCACTGAGTTTGAAGGTAGGCCTTGAAATACATCTACAGGTACACCTCCAGTTGACTGAAATGATGTCAATTAGCCTATCAGAAGCTTCTAAAACCATTACATCATTTTCTGGAATTTTCCAAGCTGTTTAAAGGCACTGTCAACTTAGTGTATGTAAACCTGTGACCCACTGGAATTGTGATACAGTGAATTATAAATGAAATAATCTGTCTGTAAACAATTGTTGGAAAAATTACTTGTGTTATGCACAAAGTAGATGTCCTAACCGACTTGCCAAAACTATAGTTTGTTAAGAAGATATTTGTGGAGTGGTTGAAAAACAAGTTTTAATGACTCCAACCTAAGTGTATGTAAACTTCCGACTTCAACTGTATGTAAATGAGATATATCTGTATTTCATTTTCAATACATTTCCAAACATTTCTAAAAACATGTTTGCACTTTGTCATTATGGAGTGAGAAAATATGTGTATTTAATCCATTTTGAATTCAGGCTGTAACACAACAAAATGTGGAATAAGTCAATGGGTATGAATCACAATCAGTGAAAAAACAAAGTATAGATTTACACTAAAGTAGCCTACAGTGCAATGGATGCTTAACCTCTGTCATTGCTCTTTTAAGTGACCAGACCTTTGCACTGGATACCCAGAGGCTGCAGAAAACTTACTTGAAGCTCCAGCGGTCTCTTCACCCTGACAACTTCAGCCAGAAAACTGCGGTATGGATGGAGGGCTCAGGGCTTGTCAGTTGACAGCAATAAGGCTGGGACCACTTGGGTTGTGGTTTTGAGTAGGGATGGGCATTTTTAATGATTTCACTATTCGAATAATATCATACAATTTTGGGGGTGATATCCAGATAGTCAAAATACATGTGTTTTAAACTTTAAAAACTTCAATGGGGACTTGCTCGCACGACTCAGGTGAAGCGGTGCACTCTCTGCTTGTCAAATAATCGGGTTATCATTACTAGTTACCACAGCCACAAAGTTAGAATTGGCTATATCGTAAAAATTAATGAAAACTAAAATTAGCTCTTGGGTCTTAATTTAAGGTTAGGCATAAGGTTAACAGTGTGGTTAATATTAGTGCTAAGGTTAGGTTTAAAATCACGTTTTATGCAGATACATTTTTGAAATAGGCTGGGTGTATAACTTTGTGGATGTGGTAACTAGTGAAGACCATCAAAACGATGTAAAGAAGCTTGCTAGCTACACTGTCCAGCTAAGTTAGCCAGCTAGCTAGTTAGCAAGGCTAATTGAGGATATTTTGCTGTGCTCCCTGTTCTTATCTACAGCAACTCCATTCATATTAAACAACAGCCTACCTGTTGGTTGATCAATTTAGCCTATTCCTTCTCATATAGCCAACTTAATTCTGTAATTGTAATTCCATTTTGCATTGATTAGAAATCACCCACTTCAGGGCCTCCCGAGTGGCGCAGCGGTCTAAGGCACTGCATCGCAGTGTTGTGGCTACACTACAGCGGCTAATTGGCCCAGCGTCGTCCGGGTAAGGGGAGGGTTTACTTGGCTCATCACGCTCTAGCGACTGCTTGTGGCGGGCCGGGCGCTTGCAAGCTGACTTCGGTCGTCAGTTGAACAGTGTTTCCTCCGACACATTGGTGCAGCTGGCTTCCGGGTTAAGCGAGCGGGTGTTAAGAAGCGTGGGGTGGAGGGTCAAGTTTCGGAGGACGCATGACTCGACCTTCGCCTCTCCCGAGCCCGTTGGGGAGTTGCAGCGATGAGACAAGATCGTAATATCACGAAATTGGGGAGATAAAGGGGGTAAAAAAATTAAAAATAATAATGAATCTCCCACTTCACTTGCTACACATGGAGTAGGCCAATAATGGAGCCTACCGTTACTAAAGGAGCCTAACGTTACTCCTTATAGTCCAAGGACCTTACATGTTCTGTTTAAAGGCAAACTGGCTCTGGAAGCCAAAACAGCCAAATACTCCATCTAAATGTGAATCGATTCTCAATTGCGGTATGTTTCTTGAAACATAAATCCTTTTACTTTCATATCACTTCAAAATATTTTCACAAATGTAAAATACACACTTACTGTACACTGTTTTAACACAGTTGCAGCCAACAGTATTTTTATGTGACAACACGTTTGTGGTGTCTGTCTTCCGTTTTCACACAGGTGTTTGGAGATGCAGATAGCTAATTAGCACAGGTAGTCCATTCTGTCTTCCGTCTGTTTTCCGGAAACAAACGCTGTAACATGAAAATATGGCAGTGTGGGAACACTAACCCTATAAAGGTGTGTATCAATTTAACCTTTTGTTTTTGGAAAATTATTTCTTGCTGATATGAAAGATAAGGTCCTTATGCTTCCAAAACCGTATCGCAAGCGATGCGTGTTAATGTTCAGACCGAGCATCGGGGCTCTTAACAAAACTCCCCTGTACAGAAGACGCCTTCGTCCAATGACTTTTATGTGTAGTGTAATGTAATGGAACTGAGAGTCATGATCAAGGGCTACACATGGAGCCCCTGACACTAGTGCAGCTTCGATTGACCGACAATAACAAGAACAAGCTACATGTGTCTTTTTATGGGACACGCTCATAAAAACTGTTGTTTTATAAAACTGTTGAATGTCATGGTCTATCCTTGTATATAGCAACGTCACATACATCATTTAATTACATTTTAGACTAAGACTTTTTATTTAAAATAGCCCTATAAATAAATATTTTCTCAAAATGAATACTCTCGGAAATAGGCTAATGGAATACTAATGTCCGTTCAGATATTAGAATAATCGTGCCCATCCTTAGTTTTGCAAAATGATAAGGCTGGGATAAGAGAAAAGGCTGGGGACTTTCATGAAGGCTAATGTTTGGATAGAGGTTTTGAAAATTGGTGATTAGGCCTTGACAATACTAGAAATGGACAATACTAGGAATGGACAATACTAGGAATGGACAATACTAGGAATGGACAATACTGGGAATGGACAATACTGGGAATGGACAATACTAGGAATGGACAATACTGGGAATGGGTGCTTGCATTTCACACTTCAAACCATTTTAGACCCTGTAATATCATGGGATAATGATATAATCTAGATAGGCTGGGATAATTATATAATGGAAATAATCCCACCATACTTCAATGGGACTAGACAGTTATCACCTAATTAGCTGACCTTATACTGTTGCACAATGGGACTAGACAGTTATCACCTAATTAGCTGACCTTATACTGTTGCACAATGGGACTAGACAGTTATCACCTAATTAGCTGACCTTATACTGTTGCACAATGGGACTAGACAGTTATCACCTAATTAGCTGACCTTATACTGTTGCACAATGGGACTAGACAGTTATCACCTAATTAGCTGACCTTATACTGTTGCGCAATGGGACTGAAAGCAACAACATGCTGCCAAGGATTCCTCCACCACAACCAAATCATTACTTTCAAATTGTATTATTAATCAGCACCCCTGGCTACGTTCCCCTAATTTGACTCTCAGTCCTCCAGGGGGTAATGCTCATTACTTACAATTACAAGGTTTCCAGGATGCTCCTGTTGCATTTGAGGCATCCAGGTAAAGACAAAGGCCATACTGCTGACATGACAGCCCCTCTGGCCACCACTGAAGGCTATTGATCCTGCCTGGGTTTGAAGGACCTGACAGTTGCAAACGCTCTCTGCCTGCCAGCCATCTCCAAATCTGCGTCCGACATGGCACCCTATTCACTTTATAGTGCACTACTTTTTTTCCTCCAAAATATTGGTATAGGGAATAGGGTGCCATTTTGGATGCACCCTAAGTTGGTATCCACCGTCTCACTTGTACCTGTCTCCTGATGGATCCAGACACATCCCAACCCGCTTCCAATTGTAAAGTGTCAAGATCTGTCGAGAAATCTAATTATCACCCAGGGTTTGGCTTTTTGTGAAATGAGTCATATTTAAAGATAAATGGATAAATGGATATAGAGGGAAAGGGAAGTCTGTTGTACAACTGAATGCATTCAACCGAAATGTGTCTTCTGCATTTAACCCAACCCCTCTGAATCGAAGAGGTGGCAATGTGTGAAATAACTTGTAATGTAATTCCCATGGTGACATGGTCTTTCCCAAATGTGTGACAGTTTGACAGTTTGAGGTAAGATGTGTTAAATGTGTTTGAGTTTATTTTTGTCTGTCTGATGTCCAATTTTCCCTTTATACAGTCACATCCCAAATGATTGGTACCCTTGATAAAGATGAGTAAAAAAGACTGGATCAAATAAATAATACAAATACTCAGCTATATTGTATGCTACATTTCTTTTTAACTATTATATTATTTTATACTAGTACAATTTGCTCAGAGAAAGGGATTTTGTTTAACGAGTAATATTTTACGAGGATAACGACACTGACCCTTTTTCTAAAATGTTTTCTACGATTGGAGAACACATTGGGAAGGATCTTAGATCAAAGAGTTGCAGTGTGTTTTGGAATGGGTGGCCAGTAATAAACTTGTCCTGAACATCACTAAAACTAAGAGCATTGTATTTGGTACAAAGCATTCCCTAAGTTCTACACCTCAGCTGAATCTGGTAATGAATGGTGTGGCTGTTGAACAAGTTGAGGAGACCAAATTACTTGGCGTTACCTTAGATTGTATTCTATCATGGTCAAAACGTATAGATTCAATGGTTGTAAAGATGGGGAGTGGTCTGTCCGTAGTAAAGAGATGCTCTGCTTTTTTGACACCACATTCCACAAAGCAAGTCCTGCAGGCTCTAGTGTTATCTCATCTTGATTATTGTCCAGCCATATGGTCAAGTGCTGCAAAGAAATACCTAGTTAAGCTGCAGTTAAGTCTTGCTCTTCTTTGTAATCATTGTGCCAGTCTCTCTTGGATAAAAGTTGAGGAAAGACTGCGTCACTTCTTTTTTCTATAAGAAACATTAATGTGTTGTAAATTACCAATTATTTGCAGTCAACTTACACACAGCACTGACACACACACACACATATCCCACCAGAGGTCTTTTCACAGTCCCCAGGTCCAGAACAAATTCAAAGCAAACCTGGTTTCAAAAAACAAATAAAGCAACACTTCACAGCACAACGCCTCTCCCCCATGTGACCTACAGTGGGGGAAAAAAGTATTTAGTCAGCCACCAATTGTGCATGTTCTCCCACTTAAAAAGATGAGAGAGGCCTGTAATTTTCATCATAGGTACACGTCAACTATGGCAGACAAAATGAGATTTTTTTTCTCCAGAAAATCACATTGTAGGATTTTTAATGAATTTATTTGCAAATTATGGTGGAAAATTAAGTATTTGGTCAATAACAAAAATTTCTCAATACTTTGTTATATACCCTTTGTTGGCAATGACACAGATCAAACGTTTTCTGTAAGTCTTCACAAGGTTTTCACACACTGTTGCTGGTATTTTGGCCCATTCCTCCATGCAGATCTCCTCTAGAGCAGTGATGTTTTGGGGCTGTCGCTGGGCAACACGGACTTTCAACTCCCTCCAAAGATTTTCTATGGGGTTGAGATCTGGAGACTGGCTAGGCCACTCCAGGACCTTGAAATGCTTCTTATGAAGCCACTCCTTCGTTGCCCGGGCGGTGTGTTTGGGATCATTGTCATGCTGAAAGTCCCAGCTACGTTTCATCTTCAATGCCCTTGCTGATGGAAGGAGGTTTTCACTCAAAATCTCACGATACATGGCCCCATTCATTCTTTCCTTTACACGGATCAGTCGTCCTGGTCCCTTTGCAGAAAAACAGCCCCAAAGCATGATTTTTCCACCCCCATGCTTCACAGTAGGTATGGTGTTCTTTGGATGCAACTCAGCATTCTTTGTCCTCCAAACACGACGAGTTGAGTTTTTACCAAAAAGTTATATTTTGGTTTCATCTGACCATATGACATTCTCCCAATCCTCTTCTGGATCATCCAAATGCAATCTAGCAACATGTACTGGCTTAAGCAGGGGGACATGTCTGGCACTGCAGGATTTGAGTCCCTGGCGGCGTAGTGTGTTACTGATGGTAGGCTTTGTTACTTTGGTCCCAGCTCTCTGCAGGTCATTCACTAGGTCCCCCCGTGTGGTTCTGGGATTTTTGCTCACCGTTCTTGTGATCATTTTGACCCCACGGGGTGAGATCTTGCGTGGAGCCCCAGATCGAGGGAGATTATCAGTGGTCTTGTATGTCTTCCATTTCCTAATAATTGCTCCCACAGTTGATTTCTTCAAACCAAGCTGCTTACCGATTGCAGATTCAGTCTTCCCAGCCTGGTGCAGGTCTACAATTTTGTTTCTGGTGTCCTTTGACAGCTCTTTGGTCTTGGCCATAGTGGAGTTTGGAGTGTGACTGTTTGAGGTTGTGGACAGGTGTCTTTTATACTGATAACAAGTTCAAACAGGTGCCATTATTACAGGTAACGAGTGGAGGACAGAGGAGCCTCTTAAAGAAGAAGTTACAGGTCTGTGAGAGCCAGAAATCTTGCTTGTTTGTAGGTGACCAAATACTTATTTTCCACCATAATTTGCAAATAAATTCATTAAAAATCCTACAATGTGATTTTCTGGAGAGAAAAAAATCTCAATTTGTCTGTCATAGTTGACGTGTACCTATGATGAAAATTACAGGCCTCTCTCATCATTTTAAGTGGGAGAACTTGCACAATTGGTGGCTGACTAAATACTTTTTTTCCCCACTGTACTTGTTGTGTGTATGTACTGACATGCATGTGTAACACACTACATGTTAATGTTTTTGAAAGTATGTAAAATTGTAAAGTCTTTAGTCTATAATGTCATTTTCTTTATGTGGACCCCAGTAAGACTAGCTGTTGCCATTGGCTCATAATAAATCTAAATAAAATCTTAGGCCATTCCTCCATACAGAATCTTTCCAGATCCTTGATATCCTTCGTCTGCGCTTATGGACTGCTCTCTTCAAGTAAAACCAAATGTTTTCAATGTGGTTCAAGTCCAGAAACTCAGATGGCCATTGCAAAATGTAGATTTTATGGTCAATTAACCATTTCTTTGTGGATTTTGATGTGTGCTTGGGGTTATTGTCTTGCTGGAAGATCCACTTGCGGGCAAGTTTCAGCCTCCTGGCAGAGACAACCAGGCTTTTGGCTAAAATGTCCTGGTACTGGGTAAAGTTCCTGATTCCATTGACCTTAACAATATAACTCAGTATTTTTATTATTTATTTCATACAGTCTTTTTTGTTCATCTTTGTCAAGGGTGCCAATTAATTTTGGAGGTGACTGTAAGTTACCATTATGTGATGTCAGTCTGGGCATGTAGACTAACTACAGTACAGTGATCAATGTACTAGTTTACCGAATCTTTACTTGTAAGTTAAAGTGGTCTAATTTCTTTTGTCAGAAAGAACAAGAGTACTCTGAATACCAGTCAGCCCTAGTGAACAAAGCTTACAGGACCCTGCTCAAGCCTTTGAGTCGTGGCCTTTACATGGTGAGTTTGATGTCCTTTTAAAAGGTATTTTATTATTTAACTGTGGTGCTTTTATATAGACACACTTTGAATGAATGTACCACAGTTTTTCTTAACAGTCCCTTTTTTCAAACCAATTCAATCAATCAAATAGTATTAACGTAGCATAACTCTTTTAACAACAGACATTTGTCACAGTGTTTGAGAGTAACCTAGCCCAGAGCCCCTAGGAGCCATCGGCAGCACAAAGCCGACTGTACTTGTTTGTTTTTCTAGCATCCCAGACAGTCAGTGAAACAGTATGTTGTTTCCTTCAATGTCAGAAAATGGATAGTTTGAGTCAGTCTTTTTATATGACCTCCTGCTATATGTGACAACCTGGTGGAATGTTGTGTTCCCTTCAATGTAAAAAAAACCATTTTTTTAAGTGACTTCCTGCTTCTGTTTCAGCTGGAGCTGAATGGCATGGGGATAGAGGAGGGGACTGATGCGGGGGCTGATCCCCTGTTCCTTATGGAGTTGATGGAGATCAACCAAGCACTGGAAGAGGCACAGAGCAAAGAAGAGTCTGATAAGATAGGCGCCTCTATGAAAGGTGTGGGTTGAAAAAGTCATTTTACTCAGCCTACTTTTTTTGTTTTTGAGTGCGTTGATTTGAATCGGCAGGATGTGAGTTTAACGAAATGGATCAGTGTTATTTTTATTTTTTGTAATGATTTTGATATGCTCACGGATGTGATTTTTTTTTGAGGGAAATTGTACCATATGGCACCTAAATGCAAAATGTGTTCAAGCTTTTTTCCTCCTTTTACTTGCAGAGAAATTGAAAGACTTGACTGAACAAATAGATGCATCCTTGCACAAAGGTATGTTGCACCATCTCAGATACCAAAGTGTTATGTTACTCTCCCTCCTCCGTCTTCAGTCTTCTGAGATGCTTTCTGTTGCACTAGTGAGTCACATGGTTCAACTTTTGCTCTATGTCTATTTCTTTTCAACAGGAGAGCTTCAAGCTGCCAAAGCACTTCTCGCCCAAATGAAATACTTTGCGAACATTGAAGAGAAGGTGAAGGAAAAACTTTCAGAGCTAATGTAAACTGTGTTGACTTCCTTTTGATGCTTCCAGGGTCATTTTAAGGTTGTTGAGACTTTCAAAAATACAATACCACATTTTAATAGAACATTTTAAAGATGTATTCGCATGCAAGTTTCAGGTATACAAATAAATGTGAAATATTTACTGAATACACATTGCCATCCTTTTTGTGTGTGTAGTTGGTCAGTTAAAAAGAGTTACATTATCCAGTTTGATCCAAATCAAAACACGACAGCCTTTACTGATAAGCCTATTTGTATGTGTAGTTGGTCAGTTAAAAAGACAGTTACATTATCCAGTTTGATCCAAAATCAGCCTTTACTGATAAGCCTTCAACTCCCACGATCTCCCCTGAAATATTTGTAAATAATACAGTATTAACGACATTGGAGGGTCAGGATGGTGTATTTGAACTGAATACATTTAATATGACAAAAACAGACATGTAATTGCACTGATTGAAATGCCGAAAACAACATTTACATGATCATCCTGCCTGTCAGTGCAGCATGTGATTAATATGTCCTCTGGTTGAGTCACTGGGAAATATTAGTTGAGAATATGCCCCTCGTAACCTGTAGAGGGAGACATACTACCTTGAAAATACAGGATGAAGAATAGCAGCTCATATCTCTCTATCTGAACCAAGAGGATGCCCTTCACAGAATTAGAAAGGAGATTGTGCATTATTCATGTATGCCACATGTATGTAACATTAATGTTATGATAATCAGACGGGCGCTATTGAATAATGATTAAGCTGCCTGTTCAGTAGGGCCTCGGCTCTTTCATCATTGTAATTGTTAGTTCAAGAAGAACGGCAGGTTGTGCCAGTCACGGTGTCAATTAGAGATCACTCCCATACAATTTGTTAAAACATTTTTTTATCTGCAGTGGATTGAAAAAGTGAAAATCAAGCTTCCATTTTCCCCCTTTTGTTTATTCATCATGCATTTATGGAACTCAGTTTAATATCCAGCTAGCATAGATCATTCTGAGAACCATATGCTTCTCAGAGCTTGGTGAGAGCGTGGTTGTCCTATGGTTATTTTGCATACAACCTTCCCACAACATTCTGGGAATGGTGCAGGATGGTTGCTTGGCTTTGGAACATTCTCAGCACATTGAAGGAACTTGACAAAATAAATGTATTTTCTTGGTATTTCATTACTTTAACAGAACGTTTCCTAAAAGTTCAACCATGGTTACATTTCATTTAAATGTTAGTAATGTTCTAGGAACGTTCTCCAACTGGTTTGACATTGGGAATGTTCTCAAATAGTTCAGAGAATGTTAAGAAACAACGTTCTTCTGTGGAAATGTCAGTACTTCATCATAATGTTTCCTACAGGTTTCCTCATGATTCTATTTAAAGTCATGTTCTCATATTTGTTCTGAGAACGTTAAGAAAGCTTTACATAAAATCCACACAAAAATGTTAGTAACGTCAGAGAATGTTCTAAGAATGTTATTTAAAAACGTACATTCCGTTCTCAGCATCAACAAAACTCTATCCTCGATCTTGTGTGTTGGCCTTGCCCACTAATTGGCCACACCTGATCTTAATGAGTGCTTGTTTCCTTTGAAATGCGGTCTGTTTGAATAGACTAAAATGATGTATGAGTTTAAAAAACATGGCATGCTAGCTCCATCCTGGTGGCGCGGTGGACTAATTCCATGGATAGAGAACAGAAGCCGTGCCACAATAATAAATAAATGAATTTCCATGTGTCCTATCTGTGCTTGGAGTACAAAACAGTTAAACTAAGCTAGCAGTGTTATTAAAAGTATTATTAAAACATTGTCAGAACTTTATTTAATTAACTTCAAATAACCTATAATTTCCATTCTCAGAAAGTTAATACAACTTTCCAGGAAAACTTTCAGGGAACCATAGTAAAATGTTCTCAGAACCTCCCTGCAACCAAAACATTTTCACTTCCGTTCTCAGCATGTTAAAAAAACATTCAGTTTTACCGGTCAGGAAACGTATGGCTTAATTCCCAGAACCAGTGGGATACCTGAGAGATAGTGGTCTTTGTGCACCATGCCTGACCTTTACTGTCAATCAAAGCCCAGGGATCGTCTTCAGATGTATACGTGTGTGGAGCTGTGCAATGTTCCTCATAACATGGTGCTCGACTGAGGGTCCCTCATAACCAACGCTTAGTCTATGACCTAAACTCTAGGTAACCTGAGGTCACCCTCACAGGTTCTGTCACTCTCCTCATCTCATGCTGGGCATGCCCCAGACCGTAATCACAGCCAACCACCCACAATAAATATTGGCCAAATAATAATCCTACCCGACTTCCAAAGGAATATAAAGGAATATGTAGGACGTGACATGTATTATTTTTGCCACATTCAACATAAAAAACTCCAACCACAGGTGAATTCGATTTTGGAAAGATCTAAGGGCAGGTCTGTTTGTGACAGCCCTTTCACAGTCTCTCCTTCACAACCAGACAACCAACCATTCCACTGCTGGAGTATCCCCAGCATCATTCAGGCTGAGATAACATTCCAGTTAGTAAATGGGTCTCGTTGGCATGAAAGCTGCATCTGCTGAGTGGCTGCACCAAACTATTGTAGAAATGGAAACTGATCACCACACAGACCTGAATACCCTGCCAGTCATACAGGAAGGACACTGCCCTTGTCACTGCAGCTTACCCAGAATGACCAGTTAGCTGTGCAACCTGGTCAGGCCCCAGAACTACAACCACTACTGGTTACTTTGTGTCATCACCCTGTTAGGACACACTCATGTCCTGGTCACGTCAAATACTTTAAATCAACCTTGCACACTTAGTTTAAGTGGAGAAATGAGAGGAAATGTTAGAGCTACACATACAATGAACAAAAATATAAACGCAACATGTAAAGTGTTGGTCCCATGTTTCATGAACTGATGTAAAAGATCCCAGACATTTTCCTTTACGCACAAAAGGCTTATTTATCTCAAATGTTGTTCACAAATGTATTTACATCCCTGTTAGTGAGCATTTCTCCTTTGCCAAGATAATCCATCCACCTGACAGGTGTGGCATATCAAGAAGCCGATTAAACAGCATGATCATTACACAGGTGCACCTTGTGCTGGGGACAATAAAAGTCCACTTTAAAATGTGCAGTTTTGTCACACAACACAATGCCACAGATGTCTCAAGTTTTGCATGCTGACTGCAGGAATGTCACCAGAGCTGTTTCCAGAGAATTGAATGTTAATTTCTCTATCATAAGCCGCATCCAACGTCATTTTAGAGAATTTGGCTGTACGTCCAACCGGCCTCACAACCTCAGACCACGTGTAACCATGCCAGCCCAGGACCTCCACATCCGGCTTCTTCACCTGTGGGATAGTATGAGACCAGCCACCCGGACATGTGATGAAACTGTACATTTGCAAAACCGAAGCATTTCTGCACTGTCAGAAACCATCTCAGGGAAGCTCATCTGCATGCTCGTCGTGATCACCAGGGTCTTGACCTGACTGCAGTTTGGCGTCGTAACTGACTTCAGTGGGCAAATGCTCACCTTCGATGGGCACTGGCACGCTGGAGAAGTGTGCTCTTCACGAATGAATCCTGGTTTCAACTGTACTGGGCAGATGTCAGACCGTGTGTATGGCGTCATGTGGGCGAGCCGTTTGCTGATGTTAATATTGTGAACAAGAGTTCCCCATGGTAGCGGTGGGGTTATGATATGGGCAGGCATAAGCTACGGACAACGAACACAATTGCATTTGATCAATGGCAATTTGAATGCACAGAGACACTGTGGCACAGCCATTGAAGAGGAGTGAGACAACATTCAAGAGGCCACAATCAACAGCCTGATCAACTATATGCAAAATAGATGTGTCGCGCTGCATCAGACAAATGGTGGTCACACCAGATACTGACTGGTTTTCTGATCCACGCCCCTACCTTAAAAAATAAATAAATATGTATCTGTGACCAACAGATGCATATCTGTATTCCCAGTCATGTGAAATCCATAGATTAGGGCCTAATGCGTTTATTTCAATTGACTGATTTCCTTATATGAACTGTAACTCAGTCAAATCTTTGGAGTTGTTGCATTTATATTTTTGTTCAGTATATACAGTGCTATGAAAAAGTATTTGCCCCCTTTCTAATTTTCTCTACTTTTACATATTTATGATACTGAACGTTATCAGATCTTCAACCAAAACCTAATATTAGATAAAGGGAACATAAGTGAACAAATAACACAACAATTACATATTTATTTTATTTATTTCATAAACAAAGTTATGCAACACCCAATTCCCCTGTGTGAAAAAGTAATTGCCCCCTTACACTCAATAACTGGTTGTGCCACCTTTAGCTGCAATGACTCCAACCAAATGCTTCCTGTAGTTGTTGATCAGTCTCTCACGTCGCTGTGGAAGAATTTTGGCCCACTCTTCCATGCAGAACTGCTTTAACTCAGTGACGTGTGGGTTTTCAAGCATGAACTGCTCGTTTCAAGTCCTGCCACAACATCTCAATTGGGATTAGGTCTGGACTTTGACTAGGCCATTCCAAAACTTCAAATGTGTTGCTTTTTAGTAATTTTCATGTAGACTTGATTGTGTGTTTTGGATCATTGTCTTGGTGCATGACCCAGCTGTGCATCAGCTCACAGACGGATGGTCTGACATTCTCCTGTAGAATTCTCTGATACAGAGCAGAATTCATGGTTCCTTCTATTAAGGCAAGTCGTCCAGGTCCTGAGGCAGCAAAGCATCCCCAAACCATCACACCACCACCACCATGCTTGACCTTTGGTATGATGTTCTTACTGTGGAATGCAGTGTTTGGTTTTTGCCAGGCATAATGGGACCCATCTCGTCCAAAAAGTTGACTCAAGTTTGCCAAAAAGCACCTGGATGATCATCAAGACTCTTGGAAGAACGTTCTATGGACAGATGATTCAAAAGTGTAACTTTTTGGACGACATGGTTCCAGTAATGCCTGGCGAAAACCAAACTCTGCATTCCACAGTAAGAACATCATACCAAAGGTCAAGCATGGTGGTGATGGTGTGATGGTTTAGGGATGCTTTGCTGCCTCAGGACCTGGACGACTTGCCTTAATTAATTAACTTAATTAATTAACTTGCTCAGTGGGATGTTCAAAGTTTC